TCCAAAATTAACCTCTAATAGCAATGAGTCAATCTAGACGGCACCGATCAACCTGTGGCAAAATATCGCATTGGAGACATTCACACTCCGACATGAACTTCTTTAGCTGTCACATGGTGCAACACTGGGACCGATAGTCATGACAATGATGTTGAATTTCGGAGGGTAGCCAAACAGCAAGGGAAACAAGGAACCATGTCAACATGTAGGAGGCGAGAGGTAACGAGGACGATCTATGAAGTGAATACTGCCTCAACTTTCCTATTCAGTCCCGTACTTTACCCTACCTAAATCTTCTCCTGCAAAAACATAAACTTTGCAAGGAAACAACTCTCCCAGTGCATATTTGTTAACCTTATGAACGCACCCAAATTAACGCGTCCCAATTATCGTGCATCAAAAAAATCGTAACGAGCACAAGGATCATGGAAACGCGTAAAACAAGATCGAGGCGACACAGTATTACCACGTGACATGTATTCCCCAAATTCCGCTCAACATTGCACGGGTTTCTCCGAGCCCCTCGAATGTCTAGGACTAGGTTCACTTTCTGAGCGCGGGAAGAGGTGCAAGACGCTGAATCTAATCCACTTTCTTCGATAATTCATCGAGAACGCAAACGGGTTCGGAAGAAAAAGAAACTATCACATGCGAATGAAAATGCGACTTGACTTTGGATTACTTGGTGTATGTTTCTATTTCACCGAATTATTTGCCAAGAATGAAAAAAAGCACATCAAGAGCACTCACACGTGAAATGATGACAGCGATTGGTCTTCGAAATATCACACAACGTCGTCTAGGATGTTCGGGATCCACATTCAAGGCGAAATCGATTAAGCAAAAAAAGCCCACATAGCCGATGTTGATCAAGCCATTCGATCTTAATGATAATTCTGTTATAAACCCGTGATACATGATGATTTCCAGTTCAAGAAATTATTTTCACGACCATTACATTCATTCATATACGAAAACAGTGCATGAAATTTCTCAGTAACGCCAAAACTACTTTGGGAGAAAACCACAGAATCCTCAGTCTGCTATAGAAAGAAATGAAACACATATAAAACATTTACAGAACCATTTGATATAAAACTAATGGTCAGGTAACAGCACCCAATACTAGGGCCTTGCTAACTTTAAAACAGATAACATTTAACTACAAGACAGACAGGTATGACCAAAAATAGTATTCATTGTGACTGCTTGGCAAATAAAAGTAAAGAGGAAAAACAAACCGTGTAGCGTAGGAGAGGCCAAAGCACAGTAGGGATCCGAGATAGCGAATAAAGAATGACGGTCGATTTTCGAGCAATACGCATATGCCAGCAAATGTCAGCATGCAGTAAAGCTAAACAAAGTCAAAAAAGAGCTTCTGAGAATGCAGTGGCAGCGCAAAGCCGCAGTCAAGAAACACATAAAAATCGTTTCGCGGAATGCAATTACTAGAATCATTCATTCATCATTCATTGAAGCGTGCAGAATAATGTCGAAAGAACATAGGTCGTAAATCATAAACATACCGATTCCGAGTAGGCTGCCGAGAAGAAAATCGAAGCCGGATTTGCTGAGAACAACAACACAGCAATGACTGCTTGTTTTACAGAACGAGAAACCCGCAGTACAATTCGGTACAGAAGTGCAGCAGCAATGAGAAAGCAGCCCTTGAATTATTTTTGACTCAGTACCAACCCTGTTAGGGCGAAAAAGGAGCAACAGAGAGAAAGACCAGTTCATGCACAAAATGGAATTCAATGCAGAAATCAATAAGGTTCGAGTTTAACCCTTTGACGACATAGCGGATTTCGAGGAGATGCGCCCATGGGACCACGCTCCCTCCTTTCGCGCGCGGCTGGCCCCCACCGGTGTACACTGTCCCAGAGAATTTCCTTCACTGGCTTACTGAAATCAGCAATTGCTAAGAGACAAGAAAGTATGATGGCAATTGAGTGCCAATGTCCCATGCGCTATTCATGATGGCACCTACCGCTGGGTGCCATTGTCGTCAAAGGGTTAATGAGCTCTTCTCCTTAATTTTCGAATAACCTCGAGTATGTGACAGGTCTATAAGGAGATCTGAGCACGTTTATAGCCATCGAAGGAATAAAAAAAACAAAGTATAAACCTATTGACCCACCAAGTTGATCGCAACAGCGGATATTAGCAAAGCAGACGACACATGTATAAAACCAAAATGTACAAATGGAGCTGCCCAGGCCATTGAAAGGATCCTAAAGGTGCGAAAATATTCGGTAGAAACTTTTCAAAATCATTCCGGTTTTGTGAGAACAAAGTACGGCCAATCAGTCACCTTATAGTCATCGGATAGAACGGAAAGAAGGCGAGACTACTTTCGAAGACATATTCATGCTGTGCTATGTGTAACATGTGCACTGCATCCCAACGTTTGAAACCAGCAAACACTCTTTGAATGAAGTGATCCAGCCTAGTCAGTTCTTCTGAAATATACGTTGATTTGGACATCTACAATGGTCTCTAAAGCAAAGGAAACTTATGATGACGTATTAGTGATAGAAATCCAGCTCACCACTGTCTACAGGAACCCCCTTAAACGCATCTGTCGAAAAGTCCCAAGAATTGAACAGTAGTTGAAGAAAAAATATGAAAATCCTGAAACTTTTAAAAGTATCAAGAAAAGGATGAAAACCACCGAAAATGCGTCATTTTTGGAAATAAGTTACCTGATGTTTTCAAAAAAGACGTAGAAGAGGAAAAATAAGCGAAACAACCATATCCCAGTAAAAATGGACTCACCGTATCCCCAGAACTTGAGCGAACAAGAAGTCCTTGATTTGCGCAGGAGATGTGTCGAAAAAGTCAGCGTTGTCACCTTCTTCAGATTTCTGAAAAGGAGTCGATCTCTTCCGTGTGCACTTCAGATACCAAAATCGCAATGGAAAGAGTATTATAAGAGGAACAACAATTAGCGGAGCATAGGTGGTGTAGTAAAGAGTAGAACATTTATCATATACGCATGGTCCGGTAATTAAACCTAGGAACAATATCTGCCTTGGCAAACCAGCCACCAAGGCTTGGGCAACCGGTACAAGGCTTATTTTGAAGAATAAAAGCAATGACCACCATCGGGTGACCACCGCAAGTAATAGTTTGTAGGCCCTGATGGAGTCAGAGGTGGAGGGCCATGAAATCGAGCAATATTTGTGAAAGGAATGCAAAAAGTGCATAAAAGGCAGACAGTCTAGTGAACTGAACTATATTCCAACAACCAGACTATGCATCGAAAACCCACCTCACAGATAATAAATGACGGAAAGGAAAAGTACGACGACGTCAGGTCATCTCTGAGCTCTTCTTTTCCGATATCATTGTTTTCAAAGGAAGATCGTTTTCTACTGCAAGAGTTCTCTATTCTCGGAGCGTAAAACCCATCGCTTTCTGAAAACGGTACCGAAATGTTGAAAACTAATAAAATACAGATCTAGACATCAAAAAGTAAGACACGAAAGAGGCCCACAGCCTAGAAAGAATGCCTGGTCATGATTATTGTATAACCGTTATTTTGCAACGCCTCCATCCCTACCCCACTTTGCTTAAAAACCAATTTCAAGCCCAAGAGCGATAGTCAACACTTTGCAGTAGAACTTCATCTATTGAATACTTCTATATTCTTGAAATGCTTCGATCAAGTTGTCGTCCGTGATGTGTGGGTCCCTCCGCGATTTTCCTTATCACCTTCCACGGCCATCGCCACAATTTGTGGGAGGTAGGATCCTGTGAAATTACAAACAAACAGAACCTTCAGTAGTATCAACAGCAAAGTCGTCAAGAGCTCGTCCGTCGGCCGACGACGTACTTTCATTCTCTTCTTCAATGTCGTTCATTCCAAACGGTCTGAAAAGAAAATCCCGTTTACGAGAGAAGACAATGCACAGCCATGTTTAAATGTTATAAAAGCGAAAATTCTTTCCAAATAGCACACGATGAATTGTAAAGAGGAATTTAAAGAGAAGTGATGCATTGCGACAGTTCTCTTCCTGATTCCTTGTATTGGATGTATCGCAGACAAAGCATTCTCACTGACGGCGCCAAATCACAACTCACCACAAAGAACTCTCGAGCTCCCATCCGATGACGGGTTAACTTCACTACTCTATACGAATGATATGTCGGAATATCCAGCTTCTTTACGGGAGCATTTTTTATTCCCAAACGTGAGTGAATTCGTTGTGAAAGAGCAGGGCCCTTTTCCCGTCCTGTCTTCCTCACACCGTTCCCTTGGAAAAAATTGAGGAGGCAACTGCTTTACGTAAGCTAGGGAGCACAGACCACACGATGAAACACGTTCTATAAGTCATTCTACCTCGCGATTGTACAGCTGCCCTGAGCAGTCGCACCGCAACCGCACGCATCCCTTACCGACGAGCGCACTAGGCGAATGAGCTGAACTTTAGGGCATATAAGCCACAATTTTCATCGGAAAATTGCCCAATTATACATCATCCATGACATCAAGGCTGAGGTTCATCAGGTTCTCCGTCGAAACACTTGTGATGCCGTTCCACTTACACTTACGACTAAAATTGGCACCCTCGGCCAACGGGGCAACTGCAAGACCTCTTTCGAGTTTTTCGGCTGCCAATTGACAACTAGCTCGAGGAGCCGTTTTTCAACACATTTAAAGCTTAATGGTGGCATTGGTCGATCTCTGGCATTACTAGTTTTTCCCCGTCGCGATCAATCTCGTTTGGGTTGCGCCTCACGTTTGATTTACAATGTGCAATTACTTCTTACCCTTCTTATCATAAAAATATATTTAAACATCGCAAGCCATTACAGGCCAGAAGAAAAATGCCGTTGGTCGTTGATCGATTAGGGATACGCCACGCATTCGATATCTAGTCAGAAAAGCATTTGCACTTGGTGCATATTTGGCTTATATAAAAAGTCGATGAAGCTAACCCATTTATAGGAAGAGTTTTGATCCCTTACGTCTGGTCCGTCAAACAAATTCCAAGAGCCTTGTTGCCTGTCTGTTCCGGTCGTGGTTGGATCTAGGACTCTGATCCACGGTTCATGCATATGAGTGCAGAACCATCCGTCACCACCTTTACTCCAGCCAGATCAGATAACTCTCAAAATCTTTCGATTAACACTGACTAATAACATAAGGAAGAGGAAAGCCCTAGTATTAAAGTTTCTGAGATGCGCCGCGCATTCGACTTCCACTCAGAATTGTTGAAGCATTTCGGAAGCCTGCGTGGCTTATGGATGGTCGTTAACCAATGTTTTTACTCTTTCGACGAGTGTGGTACCAAGGAAGGATGGAATTCTTGGATGGCCGGGGCGGGTATCGATTCGAGATTTGATTTCCGGACTATCCAATAGAACGTCACTCGCCACTTCACCACCTACGCCCATATACAGGCACCCCAGGAGGACCGCCACGTGCGGGATTTTTTGCGAGAAAAATCTATAGCTAGGTACTAGACATCTATGGAATTGCTTTGGCAAAACTGACAATTCCAATCAGCTTCACCATCGATTCCCGTGACAAACAACTACAACTGCAAGAAAACATTCCCTAGGTTCGCCTTTTTTTCCATGTCATACGGACAACTTTCTGCACAGTGGCCGTCGGCTACCGTCCTTTTCAAGGACGTTGTCGGAGACAATTGAAAACATTTAAAAAACGATAACAAATACATCTGACGATGAGTGACGGTTGTAGACCAGAAAAAAA